GTGGATTCTTAACCACTGTGCCACCAGGGAAGCCCCATTCCCTGTATCTTTTTGAATTATAGTTTTGTCTGGGTATATACCCAGGAGTGGGATTGCTGGATCATATGGTAATTCTATTTTAGTCTTCTGAGGAACCTCCACAGTGTTTTCCACAGTGGCTGTAATGTGCGCTATTTGCAGTGTTTATCATGGGTCAAATGACTTATCATTACAAGTTACTGCACGAGTTCTGCCAATGACAGACTTTCCAGTTCACTTAGTAAAGATGCCATGTGTTAAAAAGTCAAAATGGGGACTTCCTTGGTGGTCCAGTGGTTAAGACTCCGTGCTCCCAGTGCCGGGGGTGTGGGTTCAATCCTTGATCAGGGAACTAGATCCCGCATGCCGCAATTAAAAGATTCCCGCGTGCCACAGCTAAAGATCCTGCATGCCGCAATGAAGAGCCTGCGCAGCCAAATAAATAAATAAATAGATAAATATATATATTTTTAAAGTCAAACTGGCCAAGAGACATCATCATTATTTATTTTATTTATATATTTTTCTGGCTGCACCACATGGCGTGTGGCACTTCCCCAACCAGGGATCGAACCCAGGCCCCCTGCATTGGGAGCGTGGAGTCTTACCCACTGGACCACCAGGGAAGTCCTCCCATGAAATTCTGTTACAGGAACAGAATCAATACGCTCCTAAATTTTCCAAATTTTATTTTGAACCACCACTTTGATTAGTTAAAACTTCCAGAATAAAAATAATGACACACAAAAATGATCTTAGAAAGGCACACTTACAATTCCTGGCACAGAACATTTGATTTTTAGTTTTTGAATGACTGGAAATCATTATTCCTTAAGAAAATATTAACGTATTTGTTGAAAGTGATTTATTAGGTAAGTGAAAATGAATCTTGCACATTGGCTGTTTCATTTTATATAATGAGTAATTTTTTAGGTCTTCACTTATAGGGTATAAAACTTAGAAAAACATTCTCAAACTAATATGCTCATGAGAATTAAATGATTCAAGCTACAAATAAATACTAAGCTAAGATTGAGGTGGGGATCTCATTGGTGATTTTATTTTATTATTTTTGTAAATTTATTTATTTATTTATGGCTGCGTTGGGTCTTTGTTGCTGCGCGCAGGCTTTCTCTAGTTGCGGCGTGCTGGGGCTATTCTTCGTTGCAGTGTGCCGGCTTCTCATTGCGGTGGCTTCTCTTGTTGTGGAGCACAGGCTCTAGGCGCATGTGCTTCAGTAGTTGTGGCACACGGGCTCAGTAGTTGCAGCTCGTGGGCTCTAGAACACAGCCTCAGTAGTTGTGACACACAGGCTTGCTTGCTCCGTGGCATGTGGGATCTTCCCAGACCAGGGCTCAAACCTGTGTCCCCTGCATTGGCAGGCAGATTCTTAACTGCTGCACCACCAGGGAAGTCCCCTCATGGGCGATTTTAAATGAGTTTCTCACAAATTCTTTTTGATCTCAGATCAGTTTATGACCTCAACAGGTGTCTTAGTGGCTCATTCACAGTTATAGAAGCCAACGTCTGCTGGTTAAAAAGGTGGTTCCTGCAGGGATGTTTATCACAACATGGCCCTGGACCAGGTCAGCCCACGGGTGCTGGTCTCGCGGGGCTGCCTTGGCCCCTGCAGAGGGGGCTGGCCTCCTGAAGCCTCTGTCCGTCCTCCATCAGGTCTGTGATGGGTCTTATTTTGTCCTCCCCTGCATGCGGGCTTGGCCAGACCGTAGGTGCTGACCTGACTCCCCAGCTGTGTTGCTAAGGACCGTTTGGAGGTTTGGAGAGAGTTTCCCTTTCTGCTTCTACATCCAGATGGGTGGCAGTGTGGGGAGGGGGTTCTTTCCACCCTCACTGGGGGACCAACAGCATTCCTTGTGTTCCCTCCATGATGCACCATTGGTCTGACTTAACAAGGAAACCTGTGTAGCAGGGACTAGAGAATAGTTTGGGCTCATATTTCCTTTAATTTTCAGAGGTCAGGTTTATAACTCGATTATTCTACTCACATTTTAAAACACACTTTATGGTTTTCAGTGCACAGAATATTTCTGGAGGGAGCCGTAAGAAACTGGTACCATGCTTCTCCTCTTGAGCCTGGGGGCTACAAGAGGAAGGGCAGTTATGCTTTTATATCTTTCACACGTTGTATCACATAAATTTATTGCTGACTTAAAAAAAAAACCCAAACTACATCAGTAACTGTTTTGCACTGTCCTTGTTTCTTAGCTTAGGGAGTGAAAGACTGACTAGGAAAAGGAGTGGTTTAACTTACTAGCTTGGGGTCATCAGCATTGGGGTTTACTTTACTAAGCTTGCTGAGAACTCCAAGGACAAGAACCCCCAGGCAGCTGGATAAAAGGAAGGGGCTCTTCCTCCCTTTGCTTTGCTTTTCTCCAGGCTGGCAATGGGGACGTGGTGTCTCCATGGCAGGGCAGGAGGCAGGAAGAATCTAGCCATGTGATGGTGAGAGTGGGGTGACCACAGCAAAAGGGCAGACTCTTGGGCCAGCGCTTTTTCCCAGGTGGCTGGACCTGGGAGTTGCCTCCTGCCCGGCCCCACCCAGACAGGCTGATTTGATCGGGTGGTGAATGTGCCCAGGGTGAGGATCATGGCTCGGGAGGGACCTCTGTGCTCACCCCACTGTGTTCACAGACTGCCTGATTGCATTTCACCAGCGCTTTGCAATCCCCACATGCACCTGCGTTTGTGAAAGCGGATTCCTTGTGCAGACCTGGTCTCCAGGTGTGCCAGCCGCGAACGAGGTCTGGGAAACAGGGTTGTAGGTGGGATGTGAGTGGTTGTCATTTTGAGCAGGTGCCCTCGTGCTTGCACAGCCGTGGTTCAGAGAGCTTGAGTTTCTGGCCCAACGTTCTAAAGCTCTTACAAAAGAGAACTTTATAGATAGAGCTTTTAAAATCAGTGATTTTAGCATTCTGGTCTCTCATTCAGTTTTCTTTGCTTTGCTAAAAGAATCTACGCATGTTAAATATTTCACACTCCCCTCACTGGGACCACAGAGGCTGGATGCGCCAGGTAGATCCAGGCTCTGCTGCCGGCTCTTTCCCATCCCTCCCAGACGGGCCCCCACCTCCCGCCCCACGGGTAAGATGCTTGGGCTTGAGGAGGCCCCTGGTCATGAGTCCTTGTTTGATTTCCTGTGTCCAGCTCATTACCTTGACAGGCTCACCTTTTTTGACTGCAGGATGTTAAAACTCATGTCTCAGCACTAGGGGGAGGCACAGAGATTTGTTTGGTTTTCTTTTTAAATTGTGGTAACATACACACAACATGAACTTTACCATTACTGACATTTAGTACACGCGTTGGGTTTTGCAGCCATTGTTACCATCCCGGAAGGAAGGCTCAACTATTAGCACTCCCCCCAGCCCCCTCCCCCAGCCCCTGGCACCCACTTATCTACTTTCTGCCTCCAGGGATCTGCCTGTTCTGGACATTTTGTATAAATGGAGTCGTATGATATGTGACCTTCTGTGTCTGTATAATCTCACCAAACATCATGTTTTTGAGGTTCATCCATGCTATCACCTGTGCCAGAGCTTCACTCCTTTTCATGGCTGTGTAATAGTCCACAGTGTGGGCAGACCCCATTCTGTTTATCCATCACCTGTTGATGGATAGTGGGGTTATTCAGAACAGTGAAGCTCAGAGCATTTGTGTACAGGTGTTTGTGTAAGTCCCTGTTCTCGGGTCTCCTGGAAAGACATGTAGGAGTGGAGCTGCTGGGTCAGACAGTTGCTCCGTATTTGATCGTCTGAGGAACCGCCAGGCCGTTTCCACAGTGGTTGCCGTGTTTCCTCCTCGCCGCTGTGCATGACTGTGTTTCCCAGGGTCTCTACCTCCTCACCCACCCCTGCCATTTTACATTTTATTACCAAAGTTGCTCTAGTGGCTGTGTACACAGGCTTTTAAATGAATTATTTTTATTAAATAATAGAGAAAAACAATTAAAATCAGAAGGTAAAACGTTTATAGAGAAAACCAGCATTCTGTTGTCTCTTCCTGCCTCCCTAACCCACCCCTTCCCAGAGGGAGCCCTTCCCGCTGTCCTGGTTTTAACCACTGGCACAGCCTCCCTCTCGTGTAGATGAGGCTTATAACCCACTCAGACCCTTTGATCCCTTGCACCCTCTCAATATAATTTGTGTTAGTTAGGACACTGGTTTGGCTGTTTAAAAAGGACCAAAATAATAAATATCTTGCCTTACGCCAGGCAGAAGTTTGTTTCTTTCTCGCACGATGAAGAGCACAAAGCTTGGTGATGAAGGTTTCCAGCTGTCAGGCCTACTCTGTCTGTGGTTCAACTTCAGAAGTGTTTTCCGTCTTATTTTCCAAGGTGGCCGCCCCGGGTTTCCTCCCTGACATGCCCAGTGCTGCCAGCAGGAGGGGCAGGAAGGAGGGAGGTCATCCCGCATCCCCCCCCCCACCGCAACCCCGGCGTGACTTTATCTTGTTACCAATAATAATTAGCTTGAGTGCTCACTGTGTCAGATACTGTTATAAGTGCTTCTGTGCATTTACTGCTTTAACCCTCAGAGTCTTGTAAACACTGTTGTTTTCCTTTCACAGGGAAGGACACAGGTGCTGTCAGACCTCGCAGCTCACTTGGGTCACCTGGTGAGTAAGTACAGCCCCCTCCCTGGGGGGCAGACCCTGACTCGGGTCAGGGCCGGTCAGAGGTACCTCAGTTAATAGTTAATGTTTAATGCATGCTCTGCCGTAGTCTAGCCCGGCCGGCCGCCCAGGTCATCAGGCAGGAGCTGCAGAGCGTAGAGGGAAACCTGTCCTGCGTGCTGCCTCTGTGCGCCCACTGCCCTTCTGAATTAGAGGCCTTCTCCAGTGGAGTCTGTGACACCCTTTCTTGGGCTGATGGGCCGCGGTCACAGCCGCCCCTGGGGCTCCTGACCACCTCTCCTGTGTCGCCACCACAGTGGCCAAGAGGTGAGCTTGGGGGTGTGCACACGATGACGGACAGCAAGGACTTAGAAGCCGAGATCCACCCCCTGAAGAACGAGAACAGGAAGGTGCAGGAACATCTGGGAAACCCAGCGGGAAAGGAAACCAGCGTGCAGCCGCCCCCGCAGTCCCGCCTCTCCCGGTGCCGGACGGTGGCCTTTTTTCTTTCGCTGTTCGTCTGCCTTTTCGTGGTGTTCGTGGTTTCCTTCATCATCCCATGTCCAGAGTGGCCGGCATCACAGGGGGTGTGGAGGATCGATTACAAGGCAGCAGGTGCGGGCGGCTTGTGGGGCAGGGGCGCCGAGTATCCCCGGGTCCCCTGGAGTCTGGGGGCCGGGGGCCGCCTCTCAGGGAAACAGGAGCGTCCTCAGGAAGGACGGGAGGGGGGTCAGGAAAGGAAAGTGGCCCATTTGGTTACTTTTCTGAATTAAAAAAACATTAGTAAAACAGAGCAACTGGCAGAATAGATGTAGCGAAGACCGTTCTAAATGTGAAAAACAGGCTGCAGATTTGTGGCTGGGTCTCCCTGACGTGCTCCAGCCGAGTTTCCAGTCCGCCCCACCGCAGTCGAGCACACTTGATTTCTCGTAAAATCTTGGCCTTATGGAAGCTGCTGAGTCAGCTTTCCTCTGGGCACTTCCCTGCCTGTTGGGAGTTGTCCCCGTATCAGTGGGCGTGGGTGCTGACAGCCTCGCAATGTTTCTTCACACTTGAAGCCCTCTCTGGTGGAATAAGGGGAATTTCTTGTTTAAGCCTCACTGACGGTCAATTTTGTTTAGAATTTGGTGCCTAATTTTGAGAGGGTGAAGTAATACATGTTTGTGTTTATTTTTGGCAGCTTAATTGAGATATAATTTATTATCATAATATTCACTTGCTTTGAGTATACGATTCGATGATTCTTAGTCAGTTTAAGACTTGAGCACTGGGACTTCCCTGGTGGTCCAGTGATAAAGAATCTGCCTTACAATGCAGGGGACGCGGATTCAATCCCTGGTCAGGGAACTAAGATCCCACATGCCGCGGGACAACTAAGCCCACGAGCCACAGCTACTGAGCTTGCGCAACCTCAACTAGAGAGCCCACGTGCCGCAACTAAGACCCGACGCAGCCAAAAATAAATAAATAAATTAAAGAACTATTATTGAAAAAAATAATAAAATAAACTTGTTTAAAAAAAAAAAAGACTTGAGCACCTGTGCAGCTGTCGCCACAATCCAGTGTTTAGTACATCCATCATCTCTACACGATTCCTTGCCCGCAGGCCCCAGCCCCGACTCCAGCCCCGGAGCTGCCAGTGGGCTTCCCATCTCTATACACTTGCTGTTCCTGGACGTTTCATGTAAATGAAATCATGTAAGATGCATCTTTGGCCTCTCTCACTTACATGAGTTCATCCATGTGGTAGCGTGTTCCTTTGGGCAGACCAGAGTATTCTTCCATTGACCAGTTGGTGAACATTTGCATCGTTTTCAGTTTTTGACTGTTAATGAGTAACACTGCTGTGAATATTTGTGTACAAATCTTTGTGTGGACATATGTCTTATTTCTCTTGGGTAGGTTGCCAGGAGCAGAACTCTTGAACCTCGTGGTAAGTTTGTGTTTGACTCCTGTCACTGCCAGGCCTTCCCCAGAAGCTGCACCGTTTCATGTCCCCACTGGCTGTGTGGGAGAGGATTCTGGCTTCTCCACATCCTAGCCAACACTTGTCATTATCTTTTTTTAAAAATTAATTAATTTGTTTGTTTGTTTGTTTTTGGCTGCATTGGGTCTTTTTTGCTACGCAAGGGCTTTCTCTAGTTGCAGTAAGCGAGAGCCACTCCTCGCCACAGCGCATAGGCTTCTCATTGCGGTGGCTTCTCTTGTTGTAGAGCACGGGCTCCAGGCGTGCAGGTTTCAGTAGTTGTGGTGCACGGACCCAGCTGCTCCGCGGCATGTGGGATCCTCCCAGACCAGGGCTTGAACCCATGTCCCCTGCATTGGCAGGTGGATTCTTAACCACTGCACCACCAGGGAAATCTCTTGTCTTTTTTAGTGTAGACTTCCTAGTGGGTGTGAAGTGGTACCTAATTGCATTTATAGTTTGCGTTTCCCTGGTGACTAATGATGTTCACGTGGGTTATTAGCCATTCTTACGTCATCTTTGGTGAATGTCTCTTCAAATCTTCCGCTCACTTAAAAATATAATTGTTTTATTATTGAGTTATAAAAGTTCTTTTAACACAACATTGTAAATCAACTGTATGTCAATAAAAAATTTTTAAGTTCTTTATATGTTCCAGGCACAAGTCTTTCATCACATATGTGATTTGTTAATATTTGTGACCCATCTGGGGCTTGTCTTTTTATTTTCTGTAGTGTGTCTGTCTGCTGAAGCACAAAAGTTTCAAATTTTGATGAAGTCAAACATATCATTTTTTTTAGCATGGGTTGTGTTTTTGGTGTCTAAGAACTCTTTGCCTAATGTAAGGTCATGAAGATTTTCTCCTGTTTTTTCTTTGAGAAGCTTTAGAGTTCTCACTCTGCCGTTTAGGTCTGTGATCCATTTTGAGGTCGTTTTTGTGTAGAGTGTTTGGTGGAAGCAAGTGGCAGGATTTCTAGAAATGGTCACACATGCCTCCCTCCCAGCAGGACCGTCTCAGAGGCACAGGGGCACCTCCCTGCTCTCGGCACTGATGCTGCAGAGCTCCCGTGAGTCTGGGGGTGGGAGGCGTGCATGTCGACAGTGTCGGGAACGTGGTCCTTCCCCCACTGAGTGGCCTGGCGCCTTTGCTGAAACGCATTCAACCATCAGTTGTGTTCTGTCCTTCTGCGTCCTTACACCAGTGCCACATCGTCTTGATTTCCACAGCTCCACAGACGGAAGTCTTCCAACTCTATTCCTTTATTTCTCCTCAACATTGTTTTGGCTCTTTGGGTCCTTGGCATTTTTTTTTTTTTTTTTTTTTTTTTTGTTTTTTGGGGGCCTCTCACTGTTGTGGCCTCTCCCATTTGCGGAGCACAGGCTCCGGATGC